TCTTATCTCTAGAGACAGAGGAGCCAAGGTCACAGCCCACTGAGCAACAACTTGCTGCTCATCAGCGTACACTACAGACAATTCAAAAGTGTCACATTGACACTATCTTTACAGAGAGCAAGTTTCTTCAAGCTGAATCTTTATTGCAGCTTGCTCGAGCACTTATATGGGCTGCTGGTAGGCCTCAGAAAGGGGCTGGATCGCCAGAGGATGAAGACACTGCAGTTTTCTGCCTTGAATTATTGATTGCAATTACATTAAACAATCGGGATAGGATTGTTCTTCTTTGGCAGGGTGTCTATGAGCATATTGCAAATATTGTACAGTCCACTGTGATGCCTTGTGCCTTGGTGGAGAAGGCTGTCTTTGGACTTCTTCGAATTTGCCAGCGGCTGCTTCCGTATAAAGAGAACTTAGCTGATGAGCTTCTTAAATCTTTGCAGTTGGTGCTAAAGCTTGATGCTCGAGTTGCTGATGCTTACTGTGAGCAAGTCACCCAAGAAGTGACTCGTTTGGTCAAAGCAAATTCCACTCACATCCGATCACAAATGGGTTGGCGCACCATTACTTCTCTTCTTTCTGTCACAGCCCGACACCCAGAAGCTTCTGAACCAGGATTTGATGCTCTGGTTTTTATAATGTCTGAAGGGGCCCATATGCAGCCTTCTAATTTCATTCTCTGTATAGATGCTGCTAGACAATTTGCTGAGTCTCGAGTTGGACAATCGGACCGATCCATACGTGCTTTGGATCTTATGGCTGGTTCTGTGGGTTGTCTGGTGAAGTGGGTTCATCAGACTAAGGAAGCTGGGGAGGATGCTGTAAAGACGTCTCAAGATATTGGGGAGATGTGGCTGAGACTTGTGCAGGCCCTAAGAAAGGTTTGTTTGGACCAGAGGGAAGAGGTCAGAAACCATGCTGTTTCGTCTTTGCAAAAGTGCTTGACCGAAGTAGATGAAGTCTATCATACACACACACTCTGGTTGCAGTGTTTTGACATGGTCATATTTACAATGCTTGATGATTTGCTTGAAATTGCCCAGGGGCATTCTCAGAAGGACTATCGTAATATGGAAGGGACACTTACATTTGCCGTGAAGCTTCTACCCAAGGTATTTTTGCAATTACTCCCTGAACTTTCTCAATTGACAACATTCTGCAAACTGTGGTTGGGTGTTCTTAGTCGGATGGAAAAGTACATGAAGGTCAAAATTCGAGGGAAGAGAAGTGAGAAGCTCCAGAATCTAGTGTTAGAACTCTTGAAGAAAACACTAGTAGAAATGAAGAACAGGGGAGTTCTTGTTCAAAGGAGTGCTTTAGGTGGAGATAGCTTATGGGAATTGACATGGCTACATGTGAAAAATATCTCTCCATCGTTGCAGTCTGAAGTATACCCAAGTGCAGAAGTTGATGGGAATATTAATGCAACCCCTTTCGAACCTGTGGTCTCCGAAGGTTGATATCATGATATATGCTCTCAAGCGTATCTTCATGCATTGAATGAGTAGCTGAAGTAGTGAAGTACTATCTAACTACTGAAGTGTATGGTAATTGCTGGTTTAGATAAGGGAGGATGGTTGATGTGTTGGGGAGAGTGAGAAAACACGGTACGTAGTTTTGTCGTGTATTAAAGATGGGATTTTCTTTTATTTCTGCAGTTTTTCTAGGCATATCAGACTATCAGCAAGTCTATATACAACATACAAGTGTATTTATGGTATCTGTATTAGACTATTAGCCGAGTCCTCAGTGAGACTTGGAGCTTTATATCCGTGTTACTGATGTGCAGATAGATAATCACCTTACAGTATCTAACCCTTAAAGGTCAAATTACCATCTTGCATTGGTAAAATGGTTTGGTAAATTAGCTACTATGTTAACAAGGTAACTCTGGATTTTTTGTGTATTATTGTATTAGCTGAGTTATTTACCTGAAGCTTACAGTATAATCTGTAGCAATTTTACTGTAAAGCTTGATTTTAAGTTATTGATAAAATTTCTGTTTATAGGAGTCAGATTAGTGTTAAAAATTGCTGTAATATCTGACTAATATAGCACCTATGCAATTCATGTTGGCCCGTTGGTATGAGTTTATGCTGGAGGAACAGGGATTTTGGAAGATGTTGAAGAACTGCAAGAGTTGACCATGACTAACCCGCGGCTACAAAGGCAAGCTGCAGCCTGGCCATGGAGTACGCTGTCCCATGGTAGCTGCAAAATTCTTTACTCCATATTGATTTGCTTGGTAAATATTGCATTACATGCAAAGTATTTTTTTTCTTAATGTGTAAGATACAAAAGATTTGAAATTATTTTTTAATTTAATATATATTGAAGAAACATACCGTAAAGTAGGAAGATATAATAATGGATTAAGGGTTTGTTCTCATACGATTATTTCAGCTCTGCTCAAAAAAAAAAAAAAAAAAAAAAAAAAGTTTAGTTCAGCTTAGCTCAACTCTTAATTTCCTTCTCTTATAAAATATTCATTTCAGTTCGGTTTAGTTCAGTTCAATTCAATTAATGAGAATAGACCCTAAATATTTGATAAGAAAATTTGTTCGATAAAGTAAATTTTTGGTTGGAAAATTTTTAATATTATAATGGTGATAAATTTGCAAACATAATAATTTAGATATATGTTATATATCGAGTGCATTAACCATTTTAAACTCTATGTAATTGCTCAAGACAGTAAGACAGTAATGTACAGTTTACATTACACAGTAATTATATACATATACGAGAACATGTTTGTTTATTTGTTAAATACTATTCACTCCGTTCCATAATTAAGGCACATATACTATTTTGGGTGTTCCAAAATGTTCCTCCTATTACTAAAAATAACACCTAATCATTACTTACTTTTTAGTTTTTCCATACAAATTACACATACGCCTAAAAAATCATTACTTATTTTTTCTCTTTTTCATACAAAGTACACACATACTCAAACAATCATTACTTACTTTTTAACTTTTCTATACAATATTCTATATTTTTTATACATTCTTCACTTTTTATCTTTTTCATACGATATTCCTATGCTTTTTCCATCGTCCTTTAAAACCGTGCTTTTTAGAGTTATTTGCCTGTAATTATGGGACTGAGGAATAATTTTCTAGATTCAATACTAATTAAGCAATAATTGTACATGTTAATAGTAATATTTACACCAATCTATATCTATATCTATATTTATCTATATCTATATTTATATCTATACTTAGTATTTAAAAACTATAACCAAGAAACTAAGAAAGACACATGTCCCTATTCATTCTATTACATTTCTCTAACTATAGTACCACATGTCATCTTACACTATTAATTTTTTATTACACCATTTTTTTTAATTCTTTCATTATATTTATACTTCATCTTTCATACACACTTCATCTCTCCCCTTTAATTCAACATTTTCCTATTCCCTCTTTAATTTTAGCCCTTCCACCTTCTATTTAAGCCTCTTTTTCGATTAAAGTTCCAAAATTTTAATTTTTTTAATTATGTCTCCGATTACATATTATACCCTGTAATGACTTATTGATATTTCCTCACTTATCTCTCAATACAATTTTATATGAATAACCCGTACATTGCACGGGCCAGAAAGCTAGTTACTATTTTATAAAGTAAAACGAAAAAAAAACCAACATTCATTAATCTTATCCTTTTGTTTCTCTAAGGGCCTGTTCACCTTTACAGATTTGAACTGAATAGAAATGATTGGAGCTGAACTGAACTGAATTGAATAGAGTTGAAATGAATATTTTATGAGAGATGGAAATTAGGAGCTATACTGAACTGAATTAAACTGATTGGAGCTGAAGTGAAATGAATTGAAATTAAGTTGAAGTGAACAGATCCTACTCATATGTCAATTCAAAGCAAATTAGGAATGACAACGGATCAGATTCGGATCGGATGGAGCTCCACCCGCATCCACCCGAATTAATCATCCGCTCCACCCGATCCACCCGTCACCCGCAAAACCCATCACCCATCACCCGCATCCGATCCATCCGCGGATGAAACGGGTGGATCGGATACTTAACGGGTGATAATTATAATCCTACTCTAACTATAAAATCTAATACGTTAGAATAAAAAAAAAAACAAACAAAAAACTTTTAGCCAATTTTAAACTTAAAAAGTAAACCATTAATTAAATTTTTATTCCAAACTATAGCAATAAAAATAATCATGAACTTACTTTTTCTTTTTTTTGAACGGAATCATGAACTTATTTCGGTACTACATAATTAGGAATTGAGGGAGGTTTTATATTTTTTAAAATAAAATTAAAGAATTTTTAGAATTTTTAGAATTTTTTTTTTTAGAAATATACAGTACATACATAGTGTAGTATACTAGTATATAAGAAAATTGGGATTTTTTTTTATATATATACGGATGGACTGCAGATCGGGTGATAAACGGATGACGGATGAAACGGAGCCCCACCCGAATCCGACCCGATTCGTCACCCGCTTCATCCGTCACCCACCCTTCATCCATTTAATGCGGATTTTCGTCCATTTATTTATTTCGGGTGGATCGGATTTGCGGATATCCATTTAGAATTGCCATCCCTAGAGCAAGTGCATGCTCAAAGTTTGTTTTTGATACTTGTTTTCTCCTTGTAGTAGGGGCGCCCATAATTAGAATTAAAACCGAAAATCCAATTAAACCTAAACCATCTAAATATCTTAACAAACGTACTAACTTATAATGATTTGAGGCAGTATCCGGACCAATAATTAGTTTGTTTTCAAATAAAAAAGTCTCCAACTTAGATTTTATGATATAAAATAAAACAATAGCGTAAGTATTTCGCATAAATAAATTGAACCCCAAAGAATTTTTTTATTAACCCTTACAATACCCATGTCTTTAAAAACTACAAGAATAACATTTTCAACTCATCACAATACAAGTCCCACAAGAAAATCATTTCTTCTTCATTAAGTGATCTTTTCTAGAGCAATTCAATGCTAAAATATGTTGTAGATCATAATTCAAGCCTTCAAAAATGCTGACTAGTTACATTTAAAAAAATAAATAAATTAGAAGATATCATTCAAAAATAAAAATAAAATTATAAAATTCAACTATTGCTAGTTTAGAAATTGTCCAGAAATTAAAAAAAAAAAGTATTATAAAGGAAATCAACTTAGGCAAGAAATCCAATATTCCAATTCATAAAATACTGTGTGTAAAATATGCTATAATATGCTAAAATATGTAAAATATGCTAAAATTTACCCAAAAATCTCACATGCAAATCTAACTAAACTACTTCTTCCTTTGTCCTCCTTCCTTCTTCTACTCTCTTTTCACATGGAAAAAAAAAGCATTTTTGATTTGGGATTTTGAGTAAAAACAGAATATGCTCTTTTCTTGTTTTTTGCAGACATTCTCAAATACCAAGTTGGTTTCTTTTCTTTGATTTATTCAAAAACATTTTAAAAAAAATCAAGAACACCCACCGCCATTTTTTTTTCTTTTCTGTTTTATATACTTTTTCTTCATCCAATTCCAAGTGTTTCTCTCTGCATTTAGGTAATCATCTCTCCTGTAATCTTGTTGTTTTTATATTGGGTTAAGAATTTGATCATTTCATATGATAATTGCGTTATTTGTTATTCATTTTTGAAGTATCTTTTTTGTTATGTGATTTTGGGTTTTTGCTGTTTTATTGGTGTGTATGAAAAATTTGGTGGGTACCCTTTTGTTTAATTTTGATTTGGGAGTATGATCATGAATCTGGGTATTTTAATTTTGATTTGGTTTGCGTTTTGTAACCCTAATTTGTGTTGAAATTGGGATTGAACTTTGGTATCTCAATTGGAATAGGTCATCAGAGAGTGTTTGTTACACAACAAAGAAGCTGAATCTATTGCTTTAGAGGTTTTTCACTTGTGCGCTACGTTCCCCTCCCTCCTCCATTGAAGCGTACTCCGAATTCGCCATTGAAGCGGCCTGTGAGCTTTCTCTTTACCACTGAAGCAGCTTCTAAGGTAAGATGTTTTTTATTTTTTAAATCGTCCGTTATCAATTTGTTAATATAATTATTTGTATAGTCAATTTACGGAATTTCTTAGGTGAATTACTGAACTATTGATTATGATAATTAAAAGATTATAATGAGAAATTTTGTTGAACTATTAGTAATTTAATGTGATTTTTTGAGCCTATTCTGGTAATTGAGTGAAATTTTGTTGCTAATGTGTTGTAGTCTTTTGTTTATATAAACCTTTGATTGTTAGAACAGAATTATGAAAATGAAAATTTTCTCCCTGGGCCTAGAATGACCGTCCCTTCTGCTCTCTGGCTTGACAGGTATTAGAAGTGGAATATGCATTCACTTTGTTGCTGAGCTTAAAAACAAATAGATTCCTTTGATAAGCTTTACTTTTATGGATTTGTTTGCTGCATTTGGGTGTTATGTACCCCCCTCCGTTCCAATTTAAGTTAGTTTTTAATAATTGCACTATTTGCACGGTATTTTTAAAGAGTGAAGAAGTAGAGTGGAAAAATTGGCAGGTGGGTGTAGACCAACTTACAGGAAAATTTGCATAAAAATAGATTTAAACTTTTTTGTATTATTTTAAAATGGAATAATTTACTTCAATCTTGGGACAAAAGTATTTTATAGGGTCAAGCATTGTTTTTAGATGCAGCGTTTAACTGTCATATGTGACAGTAGTGATGCCTTCACCTGAGTTGTCCTATTTTAGTAATAATGGAAATCCATCATCAAGACTCTCTCTGATGGCCAAAGCTTAAATCCTCTCATTCTCTCGCTTTAATAGACCGTAATTTAATATTGTGATAAAAGTTTGTTTACTGAAGATTACTTTGTATCACTATGTCTCTGTAAAAACTGAAACATTGATCTCACATGATTTACTTTTATCTATAATAAGTAGCAATATACATATTGCAATTTTTTGTAACTTAACATTAGCTAGTCTTGACATTTGAAGATAGTTGTGGACTTGTGGTTTATCACTTTTAATTGATGATAGTGTGTATTGGTAACAACTTGTGGACGGCCATGGCATGACAATATGACACCTGGAATCGAAATATAAAAATCGGCAATTTAATGGTTGTTTTCTTTTCATTTACAGTGTAGTTTTCTTTTAATGGCTTAAACATTCATTATTATTATTATTTTTTTTATTATTATTATTTTTTCTTCTCAGCTGTGTTCAAGCATTTGTGGACATACTTCTTATGATTAACTCATTACTCGGCTCATTATCTTTTTTATTTTTGAAATCTTTGATTTTGATACCTCAATTTGAATAGGTCATTTGAGAAAGTTGGTTTCACGAGAAAGAAGCTGAAGCTATTGTACAAACAAGTGCTGGTTTCTATTGCAGATGGGCTCTAACAGGTCGGCTGCTGGATTACTGGATACAATTAGAATGGAAAACTTCAGGACTATACTGCCTCATAGTTATCCTTATCCACATGAACATTCCCGTCATGCCATCATTGCAGTTGTCCTGGGATGCCTTTTTTTCATATCATTTGACAATATGAATACTTTCATACAAGGGTTTGATAACAACATTAAGTGGTGGTCTATGTATCTTTGTTTGTTTGGATTTTTCTATTTTTTCTCATCACCGTTTATTGGGAAGACAATTAAACCAAGTTATTCAAATTTTAGTAAATGGTAAGTAGTGTGTACATTCTGCAGTTATCTTTTTGAGGTGTTTGTTTTTTTGTGTCCATAACTAATATTTAGTTCATTGTATGACTATATAGGTATATTGCCTGGATTTTTGTGGCAGCTGTATATCATCTCCCAAGTTTTCAATCAATGGGAGTTGATTTGAGGATGAACCTTTCTTTATTCATCACAATATATATATCCTCAATTTTGTTTCTTCTTGTTTTCCATCTTATTTTCTGTGTGCTTTGGTACCTTGGTCTTGTTGCCCGTGTGGCTGGAAAGAGGCCGGAGTTCTGGACCATCCTTCAAAATTGTGCTGTAAGTTTGACACACTCCTTGAGTACATTGTGTCCCTTTGGTTCTTTTTATAATTCTGATGATTTGCAGGTAATTAGTGTTGCTTGCTGTGTATTCTATAGTCACTGTGGAAATCAAGCTATCGTGAAAGAGAGAAAGAACTTCAGCTGGTTTCCCTTTTGGAAGAAGGAGGAAAGGAATACGTGGCTTGCAAAGTTTTTGCAAATGAATGAATTCAAAGACCAAGTGTGCTCTTCTTGGTTTGCTCCTGTAGGCTCTGCAAGTGACTATCCTTTATTGTCAAAGTGGGTGATTTATGGTGAGGTATGTGATCAATGTTTTTAACTTGGTGAATTTATCTGTAAAATACAATAATTTTTGGCGTAATCTTTTGTTTGTGGCAGCTAGCCTGCAGTGGCACATGCGCAGAGTCACCTGATGAAATTTCCCCTATATATTCCTTATGGGCAACATTTATAGGTCTATACATAGCTAATTATGTAGTTGAAAGGTCAACAGGGTGAGTTACTACTCTCTCATTCCCGTTTTTGTTGCTAAGACTTCGTTTTGCCTGTCCCATTTGTATTATTGTTAATTGTGAATTTCATCACATAATGTCTGAATTTTTTTTTTTTTTCAAATATATATGTGAAACTTGGATTTAGTGCTGCGTGCTCTTAATTTGGAGAAACATTTATTTTTAATTAGAAGCATTGTTTAGTGTCATATGCTATACCAGTATTAAGAATCTAACAAGGGTTTCATTCAAAGCTTTAAATTCCCTTTGTAATATGCGATACCTCTAATGAATTGGCTGTAGCCATTTGTGTGTGTCTGTGTGTTTTTCTTTTTTCCTTTATTATTATTATTATTATTATTATTATTTTTTTTTTAAAGAGAAAACCAGAAGGGGAACTTTGCCAATTTTTTGCCTTTGGGAAAAACCATTTTTGCCACTTATTACCTTTTTAGGATATGAAAATAAAAATTACAACCTTTTCTTATTATTTACATTGATAATGCTACTCTTATTGGCTTTTGTCTGGTTAGATCTGTGAAATCATTAAATTTCCAGGTTCCTGAATTTGAAATGTTTGTGATGAAAATAACCATGAAAAGTTGGCCAAAGGTAGATTCGCTGACTTAAGACTTAAGAGGTTATCTGCAAAAAAGACTACAAGTCACAAAGTAATTAATAAATTTTCCAAACTAAAAAGGCATATGAAAAATACCCCTATCTGGAATAGTGATTGGTATCCAATGATCTAACAGTTTGCATCAATCTTCTTACTTTGTGGTGCTTTCATTGAAAGTTTATATCCACTGAAAATATCAGATATTATATACGAATACATTATAGTATGAGAAATGCATCACAGTAGCCAAAAATGGATGCTGATACATATATTTCTTTGCTAATGTTTGGTATTTGAGGATCTCTGATTAATTCATTCTTCAATATTTCTTCCTATTCTATTGACTACAAACAGATGGGCTCTTACTCACCCTTTGTCATTGAAAGAATACGAGAAATTGAAGAAGAAGCAGATGAAGCCTGAGTTCCTGGATATGGTTCCTTGGTATTCTGGGTATTAGTCCTTGCCTCATTTTATGTGTCACAGTTTGTTGAACTCTCTCTCTCTCTCTTGGGGATTTTGTGAATTTTATTTGACAGAAATTATAATTTCAATATTTCAGGACATCAGCTGATTTATTTAAAACTGTATTTGACCTTCTGGTTTCTGTAACGGTGTTTCTTGGGCGATTTGACATGCGTATGATGCAGGTATATATTATATCCAAAACATGATTCCTTAAATTTATGTTATAACTTAATTTATAATTGTGCAAAGTCATTTGGGAAATTTATACTTTCCTTTTTCTTGATAATACTACCTTTTTTTTTACCCTGCTCACTTTCCGTTTATGGTTGGATTTTTTTGTTTTTTTTTTTTGTTCTACTCACTTGACTTTATTTCATTTTTGGCATGCCTTTATATTCATTTGTGTGCGCGCGCGTGTGTGAAACAATTATATTCTGTTTTGGCAAGAAAAACTAGGTAATGGCCATGCCCCAGATCAGTACAATTTTGAATTTTGATCAAAATGAAATTGAAACAGATTAATGTTCAACAATTGTTACTATAATTTTTTTTTCCCCAACAATAGGCTGAATCATATCAATATTAATTTAATAATTATGCTACTAAATAATACTCTATAACTATAGTTATATTACATGTGATTAAATGTACAAATAAAATTGACTTAAATTTTTGGTAAAAGATAATGAGTGAATATTACTCCCTCCGTTTTTTTTTAGTTTTTATTTTATTTATTTGCATCACTTGAGGATGTGCGGAGTTTTAGGAGAGTGAATTTGCTATAATATAATAATATGTGAGTGGATGAATAATTTATTATAGTAGAACTAATGTGGGGATCATGAAAGTGAAAGTATGAGAGAATAGTGGGGACCATGAGAGAGAAATGATAAATTTATTTGAGTGAGGTTTAAAGTAAGAAAGAGAAATGATAAATTTATTTGAGTGAGGTTTAAAGTAAGAAAGAGAAATGATAAATTTATTTGAGTGAGGTTTAAAGTAAGAAAGAGAAATGATAAATTTATTTGAGTGAGGTTTAAAGTAAGAAAGAGAAATGATAAAATATAGATAAAGGTACTATATATAGAAGTGATGCTATTAAAACAATAACCATATAAGGCTAGTAAAAAAAAAAAAAAAAACTACAAAGGGAGTATATGTAGTATGTTATAATGAAAATTTAGTTAAATGTGCAATGTACCACCTAAGAAATATTACCTTCATTGTAAGAGCCGAGAATAATCAAAACTTACTATCTTTATAGTATATAAAATTATAAAAGTATAATGAGAATTTTACATTATGAAACCAAATAATAAATGATGAAATATTGCTCTATAGTTATTGAATCTTGATAGTTATTGAATCTTGAATATTAATATTTATTGAATCTTGAATATTAATATTTAATGAATCACCACTAGCATGATTAATTTCTTACTAAATAGATTTTATTTTATTGTGCAATTACCAAGGAGTTAAAAAAAATTGGATGTTATATAAATATGAAGAGTTTTCTATTAGACTAAACATAATTATAGAGAGGTTACACATATGAAATGTTTTCTATTAGACTAAACATTATTGTAGAGAGGTTACACATATGAAAAGTTTTCAAGTAGGTTAAATATTACTAGCCTCCATGTCATGCCGATATAAGGATGCCACATGTCATTGTAGCTTGTAGTGCCTTGGGTTTTAATGATTTTATAGATAGATTTTAGATAAATTATAGATAGAAGATAGATTTGTATCTAACCTTGTAATTCTTGTGAAATTTAACATACCTAAATAAATTCAATTATAGATACTTTTGTCATTAAGACTGAAGCAATCAAAAGTCTTTAGAATGAAATTCAAGAATCGTAGGAAATTACTTCGACTTACATTATGATGAACATTAACCACAGAACAATTTCTTTTCAAGATGCATGAACTTCTCCCTTTCTCCTTATCAATAACATTTATTCTTCCTTTCTCTCACCAATGTGATACTTCTCTCAAGTGGATTGGTCTTCACTTTTTCTTAGCTCTGTTAAAAACGTTAAAAAAAAAAAAAAAACCACTACGTTTCTGATTCACCTTTAATTAATCAAATTAATCATAATTTTGCTCTCCTAAAATCGTATGAAAGTGGCTAAAGAGACTTTTAATTTAAGGACAAAAGGAGTATTAAAATTCAAGAGGGGGGGGGGGGACGGGGGGAGAAAGGAGAGATTAGGGATCTAAAAGGATATTTTAGGGATGATCCTAGAGAAAAAAATCTGTGCAAGTCATGAAAGAATGTTGGTTTGAGCAATTTAAACAATCGTGAGATAGTTTGACCAAGGATAGTTTTGCTGCTCATCTTTGACCTTTGCATGCTTGAAGAATAGTCGATTTCTAATAGTTGTCTTTCTAAAATATCTCAGATTTTCTTGGTGGAGCTGTTATGCACTTTTCTTTTCTTTTCTTTTTTTTTAAAACTATTTTTTTTAAAAACTTTATTTTTATTTTTTCAAATAGATAGGAATTATAAGATGTATTTAGTTGAGGAATGAATCCAACCTTATATCTTTTAGCTCTTTGCCAATCACTTATAAAAATCCCAGTTTGTATCCCTTCTTGTAACCCTTTTCCTTATTCCCACCTTCATTTAAAAATTCAAAGTATTAATTATAAGATGTATTTAGTTGAGGAATGAATCCAACCTTATATCTTTTAGCTCTTTTCCAATCACTTATAAAAATCCCAGCTTGTATCTCTTCTTGTAACCCTTTTCCTTATTCCCTCCATTTAAAAATTCAAATTTTTAAGAAGTCAAAAGCTTTGCTTGGACAATTAAATTAGTTTGGTTTTGCACTAGTGAAGAGTTGCACCATGATAAGATTTTTTTTTTTTTTTTTCATTTTTTTTTATTTACAAGTGCTTATGTTTGCATCAAAGTTCTAACTTGTGTGATGAGAGGCTTGCATTTGAGCTGACCTTTTGTTGTTGGAGCAAAATATTTTTTTGTTTCTTTTTTAGGGAATTTTGGAGAATGGATTTATTACATTGTGTGATTATATATAAGTTTGTGGAAGATAAAGAAATGTAAGTTATGGAGGTTGGCGTGCATGTTGTACTTTGCTATATGGCCTTTTTTTTCAAAAGAAAAAAATGGGTATTTATAATGGCCACAACTTGCAGTCTGCCACATTTTTGTTATCTGGGAGGAGATAGGGAAGCCCAAAATCAAGGATCACTCACCGTTCAAACTAGAACACATTCCCACAAAGTAACCACCACATATCCATACCTACAAAGTTGGGATGATAAGAATCATACTCCTACAGTCCTACCTCACGGTTGGGAGGTGGGAGCTCTACTATTGAGCTCCCACTTAATTCTCTTTTGGTTGTGGACAATAGAAAAGTGTTGCCTTTTATAATCTAAAGTTCTAAATATGCTAATTATTTATTTATTATACTTGTATATGACAAAGTTATTATAATTATTTTTGTTGCTGATCTTTAGTTTCAATGATCAGGCTGCAATGAACACTGCTCAAGAGACAGAGCAAGGGGATCCTTTTTATGATCATTTCAAAGAAAAGGATGACTTTTGGTTCGATTTCATGGCAGATACTGGTGATGGGGGGAACTCTTCATATTCTGTTGCACGATTACTTGCTCAACCTAATTTATATCTGAAAGATGGCGACTCTGTACGACCTCTTCCACGTGGAAATCTACTCCTCATTGGAGGAGATCTCGCGTAAGATCATGTCTCTGCATGTGTTGTTTGATGTCTGTCCATGTAGTAAGCTATACAAAATTGGCTCTTGTACTTCCCTCATATGTTATTGGTATATGTGACTACAAGCTATATAAACATATATGGTGGTAAAGGCCTAAAGGGTGTTTTTGTCATTGTTTCATTTAATATAAGAAATATATTGTGTGAGAACATTTTAAATGAGAGTACAAAATGTGGTGAGATGAGAAAATTCATATGAGTGAACTTGGAGATAATTACTTCTAACTTGATCTTCTTCTCATTTAGCAGTAATCCAAAGCAGTAATGACCTGGTTCAAGTGTTCAATTCTTTTTTCATTATCCTTAGTTTTTGAGTGAAAGTAGCCTAACTTATCTGATTAGTGAATACAGCAAGTAGAGTGTATTGTATTCTGTGTAGTTGACTCTTGCCATTGGCCCAACCCTAGCTTTTCTTAACTAATACCTACAAAAACCAACATGATAATGACTTGAACTGTAGCTTGCCTGACTTGAACTTGACTAGATGAGTTGTTCTTGTTCTCATATAGTCATACAGCAATGACCCATAGCAGAGAGCCAGAGATGATCTTATTCTGCTCATTTTGGCTTGATCTGCGATGTTTCTGAGAAAAACTAGCACATCTTATCAGATTAGAGTGTATTATCTGGAATGTAGCTGACTTATTCATTCAATGCCTGCTACTAAATCCTTTTAGTCTGCATTATTGGTGCAAATTGAATTTTTATTGTGATTGGACTACATACGCACATCTGCTCATTTGCAGAAAGTTCATGCATAGTTTGTTATCATCATTTTTGATCCGATGGCCTTTTTCTTTTTTTACATTCTTTGCTTATGAACTGATTTACTGCAGTGGTAGTCATTCCATATTTGGCAAGATGCTGAGCACTTTCTACATTCATTCTCTCTTCCTGCTTTTCACTCAAACCTCTTTATCACCATGAGTATACCTTTTCTAGACAGATCCACATCTAATTATTCTTTTTATGTGTAATTTGGTGCAATTTGATATAACTAACGGATGTTAACTATAATTCTAAGTTTCTAACTTGTTTGTTGTAGGTACCCCAACCCATCTGAATTCACATATGAGAGCCGCTTCTTTCGCCCCTTTGAATACGCGCTCCAGCCTCCTTCCTGGTATAAAGCAGAGCATATAGCTGTAAAGAAGCCAGAACTACCCAGTGGTGTGTCTGATTTGAAACATTACGATGGACCTCAATGTTTCATTATCCCTGGAAATCATGGTTTGTGCTGACTTCTCTTAGAAACTACGTATTATATGTTTATATATATCTAGATTCCTTGTAGTTTTTATGGTGCAATATCATTCCAAGTCTTCTTCACATTCTGATATTAATCAATGGCTATGGCAAGTAGGATGATTTTGTCCTTTTTTATCACTCACAGATTGGTTTGATGGCCTCAACACCTTTATGAGATACATATGCCATAAGAGTTGGTTTGGTGGTTGGCTTATGCCTCAGAAGAAGAGTTACTTTGCTTTGCAGCTTCCTAAAGGATGGTGGGTATTTGGTCTTGATTTAGCACTCCATGGTGATATTGATGTTTATCAGTTTAAGTTCTTTTCAGAACTAATAAAGGAAAAGGTACCTATCTCCTATTTTATGTGTATCTTATCTGGGACCTTTTAGTTTGCAACTCTGATGCTTTGAATTACTTTTCATGTACATGATGGAATTCATGGAATTATTTATGTGACTTCTTTAATATGCATGTTTTCGTTGATGACTTCAAATGGCTGAGATTCTTTAATATAGAGCATTTGATTCACGTTTATCGCTGCCATCCTCATTTATATGTGGTTCCTAAATGAGTTTGTTGTAAATAAGAAAGGGTTGAGTAGTGAGTTGCTTTCTAGATAGCTATATAAGGCTGTTTGCCTGTGTGTCATGAGATGAGCACATATTCCACGTGTGATGCTTAACTCTTTGAGGCTTGGTCTAGGCTAGCACATGACAAACTTCTTCATTAAAGCAAAAAACACTCTTGTTATGGCGCTTAAGGCCTCTTGTGAGCGCAACTAGTGGATGACACATTACTTGAGCTGCTTTCGTACAACATAAGTGACATGTCTTTAACACGCTCACATAAGCCTTATACTGATTTATTTCAACTTGGCCCCCCTTCCAGTTTAGCTCTAGGCAGTTGAACTCCCGGCCCAGTGCAGGGCCTGCTTGTATTCTTACATGATATCTTTACTGGTGCTTTTTTCTGCAAGCTATAGAGATTGAGCTTTAAGTTGAGTGCATAACTAATTATAGGAAGCCAATTAGTTTTTGGCACTATAATTGCCCATAATTATTATTAATATTTTTCATTCTTTGATTTTGATAGAAAGTATCTAGTACTACCCTTCTTGAGTCTCTTTACCTAATTGCTGACTAAATTTTCTCTCCTTGCTGCATTTGGTTTAGGTCGAAGAAAATGATAATGTAATTATCATGACACATGAACCAAATTGGCTTCTGGATTGGTATTGGAATCATTCTTCTGGAAAGAATGTGGCACACCTAATCCGTGACCATCTAAAAGGAAGGTGCAAGCTCCGTATGGCTGGTGATTTGCATCATTATATGCGTCATTCCTATGTCCCATCTGATAAACCAGTTTATGTGCATCACCTCCTAGTAAATGGCTGTGGTGGGGCTTTTTTGCATCCCACCCACACCTTCAGTAATTTTAGAAAATTTTATGGTACCCTGTATGAAATGAAAGCTGCATATCCTTCATATGAAGATTCAAGCAAGGTAAGACTAAACTTCCAGAGTCCGTTTATTCCTTGTTAATTGACTTATAACTACTCTAAGCTGTCTACTTGGTACAAATTGGCAGATAGCTTTAGGAAATATATTGAAGTTCAGAAAGAAGAATTGGCAATTTGACTTCATTGGTGGAATCATCTATTTTGTTCTAGCCTTTTCTATGTTCCCACAGGTAACTATCACCTTCTATTACTTACACACGACATGATGATGTATTGAATAATCCTACCTCTATATTTCAAGTTTTTTGGGTTGAATTCTCCTACAAGGGGCCGTTTGGTTCGAGGGAATCGGAATGGAATGAACAAAGGGAAAGGAGAAGAATGGAATGAAAATACCCTATTTTTGCTTTGTTGTTTGCTTTTAAAACAAAGGAATCATTCCCACCACCACACATTTCATCTTTCTCAGCTGCGTGAGCCTCGACCACCCCTCACCCCCACCCCTACCGGTTCCCCCCCCCCCCCCCTTGTCAGCACCGGCCACCCCCACCCAGCTTTCATTACACTCAGTCCCACCCCGACTCCTACACTTAACCCCACCTCGACTCCCACCTCAAACAACCCCCCAAAACCAGCCCCCTCCTTGGAATTACCCCTTCCCCCGTTTTCCGGCACCCCTAGCCCTAATTTCGCACCCAAAAACCCATAAAACCCAAAAAATCTGAAACCCTAAAAAACGGGTTTTTTGGGTTAACGGGTTTTTGGGTGGGGGATTAAAATTGGGGGGCCGGAAAAAAGGGGAGGGAGCAATTTCCGAGCAGGGGGGTCGATTTTTTGGGGGTGGTTTGGGGTGGGGATGACGGTTTCGGGGGAGAGGGAGATCGGGGCTAGGGGTGGTTTTTGCGGGGGCGGTGGGTGCAGCGGTGGTCGGGGAGGTGCAGCGGTGGTCAGGGGAGGCTTGGCGGTGGTCAGGGTAGGGGCGGCGCTGGTCTGGGGCTGGTTTTCCGGTGGTGTTTGTAGGTGTGAAGGTGGTGATGTGGTGGTGTGAAGGTGGGTAGGGATGGGAAAGTCTTTGGGGGGGGGGGGTGGGGAATGGAGTTGGAAGGATTTGGGGTAATGAGGAGGGTAAAGGGAATGATTAAAAGTGCTAAACAAACATCAACAAAGGGAATCGAGCCAGATGATTCCCATTCCCTTTCCTGATTACCCCCAACCAAACGGCCCCTAAACTTTCCCATTGTATAAATTTGTATAACTAGGCTGTCTGCTTTCCATATTGTATAAATTTGTCTAGCCAACTTCTAGAATCTTGGTTCTGAATCTTCTGATACTGTATTATTCTTATATAGTGTCAGCTTAATCATATCTTGCGAGAAGATTCCTATTCTGGTCATCTGAGAAGTTTCTTTTCCACTGTGCTGGATTTATTATCGTATGTGCTGGAACACTCGTACGTGTCTTTCATAGGGACTATGCTGCTGTTAATAACAGCAATATCTTTTGTCCCAACTAAATTCTCACGTAAGAGGCGGGTAGTCATAGGAATCCTCCATGTATCAGCACATGTGTTTTCTGCTCTGATTTTAATGTTGCTGCTGGAGCTGGGTGTTGAGATGTGTATTCGGCATCAGCTGCTGGCAACCTCTGGTAGGGTTTATTCTTATTGGTTCCTATGATAAATTTGTAATTGTAATGTAAAGTAAAATGTTCCTAGTTAATTTTTTTTCTAAGCTACTTTTTTGAAATGCACAATAATATAAGTTGTTCAGTAGGGGGACCTTTTTTTGCTCAGCTGTGGTGTGGTTAATATGCCACAATTGGCACTCCTGTGCTGATTTTCAAAAGCCTGGTTATGTTTTATGCATTAAACTGCATTCCTTACAGGCTATCACACTTTATACGAGTGGTATAGACAAATGGAGAGAGAGCACTTTCCTGACCCAACTGGCCTTCGAGCACGTATTGAACAGTGGACTTTTGGGCTTTATCCTGCATGCATCAAGTATTTAATGTTTGCCTTTGATGTCCCTGAGGTACATAGTTTTGAATAATTAAATACAAATGTTACTCTCTTTCTTTTATTTTATTCTTTTTTATTTTATATATCTAGTCTAAAACTGTGGGAAAAAAAATAGGTCATGGCTGTCACAAGGAGCAACATCTGCAAGATTGGGATGCAGTCACTGTCTAGAGGCTATGCTGTAATATATTATGCCTCTGTTTTCCTCTATTACTGGGTATTCTCAACCCCAATTGTGTCTTTGGTATTTGGAAGTTACTTGTATGTTTGCATCAATTGGCTTCACATCCATTTTGATGAAGCCTTCTCCTCCTTGCGTATTGCAAACTACAAGTCATTCACTCGCTTCCACATCGACCGTAATGGTGACTTGGAAGTCTTTACCCTAGCTGTTGATAAGGTATGCAGCGTAATGTTTCATCCTATTTTCAACTTATATTTTTGCCTGTAATTTTACTGCTTTGTGGCTTGTGAGAGATTACTTTTAGATGCCTAATTATAAGCTACTGTATACAAACAGGTCATATAGGCATATAGAAAACGTAGCATTAGTAAATATTGTTTCTGCTGAATTGATAAGCAGAAAATTGGTGGTTAGTATGATATGTTGCTAAGCCAGTTGTCATAGAGAGGTGTATAAAAGGTCATCGTAAAATTTACATGTATTTGTAATTTTGTTGAAACTTCTGTCAGGTAAATCCTTGCTTCAACTCTAGACAACCCCACCTTTCAACTTATAAAACCTGATTTTCTCCTCCTGCAAGTGCAATCTAAATTTTCTATGTTACACTTCACAATAGAAAATTATCTAGCCAAATATCTTTTTTTTTTTTTTTTCCTTGAAATTTATCTGGCCAAATATCTTAATGTACGTAGAATCTTCTAATCTTGTCCAGAATGTAGTTTGTCACATAAGGTCTTAAAGTTGTCATTGGAGGCATGCTTTTTACTTCCATTCAATTATATACTTTCAGTCTTTTGCTAACCTAGACAGTTTAGACCTAAGAATTGTTCTTTGCTTTCATTATACAGGTTCCAAAGACATGGAAGCTGGATCCGAAATGGGATGGGGAGCCAAAACAACCCCAGCAGCTAAACCACTATAGAAAGCATCCCAGCAAATGGACTGCCACTATTAAACACCAGGATCCATTATCCACGGTTAGGATTGTAGACCAATTTGTTATCCGCAAGACTGAAAACAGTGACATGCTCAGTAATGGACCAGTACAGATCCAAGACCTGTAGGACAAATAGTAACATATGTAGATTTTATGCTTAGATAGTTGCTTAGCAGGTTAGCATAATTTCCAGGTAAATAGTTAGGAGGTGGGGGAGGGTGTCAGAAATAGATGATTCTCCCCCCTCCCCCCACCCTTTTTGTATATATATGTTTTCTGGTTAATTTGAAAGCTCGAAAATATCAACTACTGTATTTACACGATTATCAGATGTAGTTTTGCTAGAAATGAAATCATTGTCTTGTTTGAACTGCTTGTTACTCTGTCATTTCAAAGTAAAACTGCAAAATTTGTAGCAGAATGTAATAAGGATGCTATATATAATGTATCAGGTAGCTAATTACAATTGCTCTCCCTTCAGAGATTGTAAAAAACTTGCACCTATTTCCTTTTGTGGACAAAATATGGCAAAAGGGTGAATATACATTATCAGCAAATACATTTTAACTTATCTTTATCTATAATCAGCATGAAGGAACCTCTCATATGATGTCTTCTTAAGTATGCTTTCTAACTCATCCCAGTTCTCGACTTGGTTTGCCAATGGCCCTCCGTGTATTTTCACTTGTCGGCTTGTCAGGTTTCTGTAAGGTACGCTGAGAAACTCTTGGACTTCCTGCAATTTCTGCTGTAATTTATGTTTGGATTGAGAAATCAGTTAATACATTTGATCTGAAATATATATCTCTGGATGAAATTCTCATGGTTTTGAAGAGAAACTCACTATACGGTTGGATATTAGATCTTCATAGTAGAGCACGATGTGTCGTGTGCTGTTGAAGGACTCCAAAGCCTGATCTATGATTGCTTCTTCCTGTTTTAGTTTAAGTTCAATTTCTGTGGCATTTATTTTCGGCTTGTAACTTGCCAATACTTGAGCCTGTGATATCATTGAACCAAAGAGGAGAAAAGAAAATATGAGTCAGTAATTTGGGTAATGTAAACCCTTTTTAAAGATGATTTTTAGGATTTTACAAAATATTTAAACTTGCTTAAAAAGAGCCCTTAATCCCTTATTGATTTAACACAGTTGTGGTATACTGGTATGCTACTTTCCCTGTTTTATTGCAACATACACATACTATTTGCTTTAGTGATCAAGGGTATGTTTTAATTTTATTTATTTAAACTTAATATAGACAAAATGCATTCAGACAATCTAAAATAAGGTACAATAATATAATTTCAGACAAAATAAGTTAAAACAAATAGTCTCAAGCACCAAAATCTTTCTTTTTGCAACAAAATGAAAATAGAGTAATGAAATAAGGACCTCAACAGACGAATGAACATGAGATTTATGAGTTCCATTCAGCAGCTTAGTACTTTTGTCATAAGAATTTGCCAATACTGATATCATTCTTCTCAGTAAATTTCTTCTGAACAAAAATATTGCAGAAACACCTTTCTGGTTGAAATACTTCACTATTTCTTCTTGGTTCTCCATCAAACCCTGAAACCAAAGCCAAATGATGTTGTAAATAAAAGCAACCATGAAACATATACCAACTCCCAAGCCGAAAAATTGCTACCACAGTCGGGTTTTAGTTGTCATGTTGCAAAGTTCAAAACTACCCTATCAACGTGACTTCGAGTATTAATTTTCATATCATTTTTCTCAATATTACCTGATTGAGCATCCACTTAAGTCCAACAGCAGCTGAGCACTCATTCTTTGAAGCACTATTGAACCAATCCAAATTGTAGACTTGATCTAAAGTTTTCAGTATCATTGACACATTGTTTCTTCTCTCTTTTACTGAAAATATTTCACCATTCGAGCTTACGTTTATGTGGCTGTTCAACATTGTCTCAAACCATCCGCTACCTGATCTCTGCATTGATAAGATTGCGAATGGCCGGACTGGATTGCATTCACATTCTTCCCTGTTGTATCACATTTGAATCACTATCATAAAGACATTGCAGAGCATAATTATGTAGCTTAAATCTCAAAAAAATGAATAGTTTTCTTGGTTTAACCATAAAAAAGATATGCACATATAATTAAAGTGGTATTAAGGCTTACATCAAAGTACTGACTTGTTCAAACCTTTTTACTTAATTGACAAATCTAGTTGAATGTACTTAATTTGAAGTAGTTAGTTTGAAGCACGTTAGAGATTTTTTGAATTGTTATTACCAATTGTTCCTTACCATTATTGCTCATTAGAAGCTAGCAGTAATAAATTATCTTATCAAGGAACCAATTCAACCAAAAGTTTAACTTGATGGTTGAGGTCCCAGAATTATATTTATCCTCTATCACATCAAGCTATTTGTAATCTAAATACGACTTTACGAGACACTTTTAAAGAAAAATAATACGAGTACGTTTAAAAATCATATTGGAGGTTGAGGAACCAATAAACACGCTTAAAAAAAATCCCAAAAAAAGGGGTAAAATAAAAAAAATTTAAAAAAAGAATATAAACTTTATTGTAAGAAGAGAAATTGTGAAATCACCTGCTAAAAGTAAGAGGCTTAGGGTAATGTATGTAGTGAAATTCTGATGAATTACTTTGACATTGCAGAAAGTTGACTTGAAAATTGTTACTTTTGATGAATTTGGAGGTTGTGGTTATTATGGTAGGAGTTTTTACTACATTAAAACAACCTGTTAAACAAATGTATACCCCACAAACCATAATAATCACTAACACTCCCATTCTCATTAGTAATGGTGATCTTTTCCCTCCTTTTATCACCCATTTTTCCTGTCATATACATCACATACATTAGAACAAAACACATAACTATCCTAATTCAAAAGTCGTGCATGTTGGTCGTGTAAATTTATACCGTCAACGTGACATTTAAATCTAGACAGACAGAAAGTAGCTATTTCATTACATGATAGCAAAAAATGTAACATTAACAAGTTCAAAAATTTAATTACCTTGTCAAAGATGCCATTCTCTTGAGCCCTCTTCATTTGAATGAAGATATTAAGACTAATGTAATTATGTTATCAAAAAATGAATTAAAAGAAGAATGAAAGCTATTATATAAGCTTTTAATTTTGGATAAAAGTGTTTAAAAAAAGCGCCGGCAATTGCACGCTTTCTTTTATAATTGTAGTCAGCTTTTCTGTTTTTTGCCATTTTTTTTAGTATTTTTGCATTAAATTAATCAACTAAGCATCTGTGATCCCTACATCTGCCTACTTTGCTTAGACATGGTCAACTCTGACTCAAACAAACTGAAGTTATTGGGTATTAAATCAATTAGGATTGTGCTAAATAAAAAATCAATTAGGATTAATCAGTTTCTTAAAGATAATGATTAGCCACCAAGTTTATGACTTTCATCGATCTAATCTTATATTGGATCATGCTACACTTTCCCATTGGATAATCTATTGTTAAAGATAGAGGTTGAAAAATAAGAATCATTACAAATTGTTGAGTTAGCTTTCAATTTATCTTTAATACTCCTTAATTTGAATAGTCCTATGGAAAAATTAATTTTATACTCCTTAATTTTCAAACATCAAATAGATGAAATCACATATTTTTAACATAAAAAATGAATAACTTGTAAAACGAATCTTTTAAGGGTTATAGAAAATGACATAGGCTCGTACTTCTTTTAAGGTTAAATTGCGTCAGTGATGAATCATATTAAGAATAAGACAAACGAAAATATGTACTCATTACGATTTAAAAGATGTTTTAATGTACTAAATTTGTTACTGACAAGAAGCTTTGATACATGAAACCACATGACTATTTTCCTTGAACATTGTTTCCGGAATTCAAGTTATCCAACCAAGGCCTAAGCTACAACAAGACCCTAAATTGTCTCGTCTTTCGACCAAACCAAGCAACGTATTGAGCATTTCGAAAACAAGCAAACGAGGAAATTTATAAGGGCCCCGGTTAATTTTTATGATAACCAAAATCGTTTATTTAGGGACATTTCTTTAACTAATGAAATAAATTAACAAAATAGCTCGTAATAATGGCATTTTCATAAATAAAACAACATTTGTGGAACCCGCATTTAATAAAAATTGACGACTTATTTACAGAAATATCACTAGAAAAAAAAATTGTTTATCAAGAAGATCAACTTGTATTTTTTTCTAAATTTATTTCCTTTACTTTTGTAATATATAGAAATTACCGCTACACGTCGTATTAGTTATTACACTATTCATCTCGTAATAAAGCAAAAAGGTTGTATATAGGTGTGGTTTGTGTGGAGCCTATATACACCCGCACTTTTAGCAATAGGATTGGTTTGCATAGCGGGTCATATAGAATCACATTATAAAAAAGTAAAAAGAAATTTGAAATTCAAATCATAAATTGGCCTTTTTAGATTGCATGAGTATCAAAATGGAAATGGTGCAATATATACAACAATATGCTAGTTTTTCATTTAGAAAAATTGTTGTTAATAATACTAAATTTGGGCGATTGTTTTTAAACAAGACAATCTTTTGTTTATTCTTGAATTTTACAACCTTAAGGGTCTCAATTTTAAGCAAGATAAATAAAAAAATAAAGAGAAAAATAAAAAAAAAAGAAAAAAAAACCTTGGTAACTGACTACTTACACAAATGTAAAGTTTTGGGTGAGACCGACTCACGTAAGTCCACCATCTTCATTCTCCTTCCCCTTTCTCTCTCCTCCCGCCCATCAATGGCGGCCATATCCTCCACCACTCTCACCTCCTCTCCCGCACCTCTTAACTAGCTGTGATGAAGATGAAGATGATATGAAGGATGACCAGATCTTCCACTCCACTTCTTTCTCTCTCCTCTTTTTTATTGCCCCCAAATCTGCCATGAAACTCATAGAATTTTGTAACCGTCACTGTCTTTGTCCATCTCTTCCATCATCTTCTTTACTTCTTCTGGTGATGTTTCCGATCTTAAGGGGATTGCGAATATTCTTTGCTGGAAATTGTATTTTCATGATAGTTGCTTGATGTAGAGAGAGAATCAGAATCAATCAATCCTCCAAGGGTATATGCATAGTTGTTAGAATCGCGATCCGGATCGTAGGATCGTACGATCCGGATATTACAAATCGATCCGGATCGAAGCTAAAGTCGTAAATGAGCCAGGATCGTAGTAGGATCGTGTGGAATCGATGGGATTGCGATCCCAATAGGATCCTACCGATCCTAAGTAAAGACTCTTAAATAGAGCCCAAAACATACAATCTTTATTGGGAAATTCCTTATGGTAACCCTCTATTTTTTTAATTTCTCAATGGTAACTTCCAATTTTCAAAATTATCAAATGTAACCCCAAATTAATAATTAATCATTAAATGTGACATTAGTGGGTTAAAAAAAAAGGGAAATTACAATATTTTCCGTTAAGTTGTGGGTGAATGAGTTATTTTGCTAACCATGGTTAAAAGTTAAATTATCATATATGTATTACTACTACTATATTGACTTACTGCTAGTGCCGCCAACCAATTTCCTGCTATAGACATTCTTCTCTCCGTAAAAAAAAACTAGCAAATTCTCCATTCAAGCTTTTGTGGAAAACGATTGAAAACGAGGGACACAACATATTCAAAGGGTTTTTTTGGGTCTTGGTGTTTTCATTCCAAATTTTTACCTTCAAATTGTTTAGGGCTCCAGATTACAAGTAAGTGCATTCTCTCAATTTTAGGTTAAAGTGTCAAAAATTTTGGTAGAATTCTAGGTTGGGTTTGTATAATTTGTGTCAATTTTGCTGAAAATTTATTTGATTAAATATATAGAAATTAGTGGGTGGATTATGACAATAGAAATTGACAGAATTGTGAGAAAATTCTTGTAATTAGCTATTAGTTTTTATTTATAATTTTTATATCAGAGTACTCTTTTGGTCAAATTTGTGACCTTACTTGAAAATTGATAACTTGTTGGACCCAATTGAAGAACTAACGACATGCTGGTAATCAATTTACACTGCCTAACCAACTAGTGTAGAGTCATTGACTAATTGCAGTAGAAGACGAGGCTAGATAATATTAGTAAACTTTGACATAAAACAAAAGGTAGTGAATGGAAAATACAATTGAATAGAAAAGGAAAAAAATGTGTTGGCATAGGTATTCTCTGATTGATATGTGTAGTGTCTTATATACAAAATAGTCATATCTTTGGAGTAATCAATGGAAAAATGGCAAGCTAAATTGTAGAAGTATATATTGAATGGACAAATGGCAAGCTAACTAATACAAGTATATATATGATGCAACAGATGCTAATTAGGCTAACAACTAACAAGTAGATTGCAAAAAATTTCTACTTTTTATGTTGCTACTTTAATATATATTGGTTTTCATTCTACTACAATGAATTGCTACTTTGCTAAAATATTTATTGGGTTTCATTCTTCGTTTCTACAGATAATTTAGTCTAAAATATGGGTGATAATGTAGTTTTGAGGTTTCAATACTCTGGTAAAGACACTGACATCGTTGTGCAAGATGTTGACAAGGTCAATTTAGTTGACCTCATTATCGAGTATTGGGAAATACCTGAGCGAGAACAAACCCCAATGCCTAAGCATCCTGAGTTTACATACATTCACAAAATGAAACATGTTGAGCTCAAAAATGACATGGCGCTAATGAAGATGTTTGTTGACTTACCTGGGAGGGATTTGATTTACATATGGGTGGGGGAGCTTCAAAAATCAACTCCAATAGTTGAAATTGCACAATCACTTAAAGCATCAAGAAGAATGAATGCCACTGAAAGTAGTGATCATATTCAACCTCAGCCCACTCTAGACCAATCTAATGAACCTCGCCTCATTAAAAATAAGAAATTGAAACTTTAAAGCAAGCCGAGGTTACATTTGACATGGCTCCTCCTCGCTCTCCTATTAACATAAATGAGTTGATTGTTGATAACATGGAATATTGGAACAACATTGAGATCACTGCAGTTGAGCCTAATAGAGGGAGAGGGAGAGGAAATGGAAAAGTAAAGGGTGGGGGCAGGTATGGGGGAAAAGGAAGAGGAAGAGTGACTAGCACACCAATTGTTGAACCCATACCCGACCCTACTCAAGCAGTTCAGATAAGAAGAAGTCCTAGAAACCACCCGACCCAAACAAGTAGTGCATTTCAGGAGGGACAGTCATCAAAATATGTTAAATTTTCACCGTTGCTGAAGAAGAGAATTCCTAGAACTACAACAAAGAGGAGGGGCTTAATCACAACCACTAATGTGGGGAGAGGGAGTGTTGAACAAGGTAACAATAGAAGGCATGTTGCTTTTGACTTGACAGCTAGCCTTGACACAGCAGCTGAGATGGACTTGGACTTGGATGATATTGAAATATACTCTTCTAGTGGACTTAATGACGATGACAATGAGAGTGCTCTATCAGATGATGATGACGAAGGTGAGGGACAAGATGATTGGCTTATTCCCATGATTCATGATAACTTTGACCCATATGAAGGCCCTGTTTGGGAAGATGACTGTGATGACTTGGATAATTATCTCCAAAGGCTTTATAAAAATGGTGAGTTTTACAAAGACGAGGACTTTGGTAAAATTGTTGTTAAACCATGGTAACTTTACACAGAAAAACAACACCTCAGAGATGTTGTAAGGAATTATTGCATTCAAAATGGATTCTCTGTGATTGTAGAGAAGGCCAGCAACTTTACTTACACTGTGAGGTGTAGTGATGAGAGGTGTCTTTGGAGATTGCATGCATCAAGACTTGTTGATGGTGTGACATGGGCTATTAAGTCAATTCAAGGATCTGAACACACTTGCATGGGCTTAGAAACTAGGAACCCAATGGTGACAACAAAATGGGCCTGCAAAGTGTTGTTAGAAGACATTAGGGCCAACAATGACATTCCAGCCAAGGCCCTTAACAAGCTTCTATGGTCAAGATATAGGGTTCAAATGGCACAAAGTTCGCTTTACAGAATGAGAACTATGGCATTAACTGAGATTCATGGGGGGCATGACGTTTCATATAGTTACTTACCAAATTATTGTGAAGTTATAAAAGAAACTAATCCAAATTCGTTAGCTAACTGTGCTTGGAACCCCCCAAATCACCCTGAAAAGCCTCTTGCATTTACTAGTATCTTCATATGCTTTAAGGCTACATTGGATGGGTTGTTTGCTAGATGTAGGGGCCTAATTGGTGTTGATGGAACATTTGAAGGGTAACTATGGAGGTGTGTTGCTCTCAGCTGTGGCACTTGATGGGAATAATGAGATGTTTCCAGTTGCTTGGGCTATAGTGTCAGTAGAAGATGAGGAAACATGGAAATTTTTTGTGTGGCACTTGAAAAACGCTCTACATCTAGGTGATAGAGGTGATGACTGGTGTATAATTTCTGATAGGCACAAGGTAATATTATATACTAATTAATATCTATTAATGAAAATTGTTTATAACTACTTGCTTTTGTTACACTAACTTGTTTTATTATTTGATTTTTTTTTTAAAAAGGCCATTGAAAAGGCTTGTGCAGAATTATGGCCAAAATTTGGAAGAAGGTATTGTTGTAAGCATCTAAGTGTTAATTGGAAGAAACCCTTCTCAGGACCAAAGATGTTGCAACTATTCTGGTTAGCTTGTGGTGCATATTCAGAATTCACCTTCAAAAAGGCAATGACACAAATTCAGAAGGTTAAACCTGCTGCAAGAATTTGGTTGGCCAATTTAGGTGACCAAGAGTGATGGACAAAGCACAAATTCAATCCAACACTAAAATGTGATGTTAACAAGACAAATTTTGTTAAAAGCTTCAATGCCACTCTTGGGATTGATAGGTGTAGACCTGTTTTAACCTTACTTGAAGGTAAATAATAGTAAAACCATGTATATGTTATTAAAAATTATAAATTTATTAAACTACTGTTGACTTGATACTTAAAATTGTATGCTTTTGTTTTTGAATTTTGAATAGGTATAAGGAGGGTCACTATGGTTAGGCTGGCTACAAGAAGAGAAATGTGTGAAAAATGGGATAGGCGTGATGTATGTCCAAACATTGTTAAGAGGGTTCAAGTACTTTGTAGTGATTCAAGAACTTGTAGGGCATACTTATCAAGTCAAGGGGAGTATGAAATTGTGGATGGGAAGTCATCTCTTTCGGTGAGTCTTAACAACCACACATGCCTTTGCAATGCTTGGCAATTGACTGGAATACCATGCAAGCATGGCATGAGGACCATATTACATGCAGGTTTGGACCCCTTAAGATTTGTGCACGAGTGGTACTCTGTAAAGAGGTATAAGATGGCATATGCTAATGGTATAAAATCAGTGCCGGATAGAGAGCAGTGGCCTCAAACCGATGTGCTAGTCATTCAACCTCCCGTGATGAAAAGAGGAGTTGGAAGACCAGTGAAAAATAGAAAAAGAGGTGAGGAAGAGCAGAGAAAAGGGAAAAGATCTAAGACTTTACGGTGTGGTAATTGTGGTGATTTTGGCCACAATATTTTGACTTGTCAGAGAGCCCCAACACAAAAGCAAAAAAAGGCACAAAGCAAGAAGAAGAATGCAATGTAGAGCATTGTTGATTGTCCCATTAAATAAGAACATTAGTTTTCATTATACTATTGCGTTAGTTTCCGCTAGTTTATTATTGGACTACTTTTGTGTCTAAGCTTAGATTTAGCTTTAATCTTAATTTAAGTAGTTTAGTTTAAATTATTTATTTAAGTGGACCTGACATGTTATATATCACCATTTACATTTTTTTTTACTGTTTATTATTATCATATGTCTTACATCATATTCTACTTCGTACTATTATAAGTTGGAGTACTATTTTTTAATATACTAAGACAAAATGTATGTAAAAATATGGGGAAGCAGGTTTTCCACTTACTCACATAGTACTCCAACTTGATTGATTTTTTTTTTTTAATTTTTTTGACGGGAACTTGATTGAAATTCTAAATATACTACAATATTTTTATTTGCCTTTTAGGAGCCTATTGCTACTTGCTAGTAGCCGCCACTTTTTCTTTCATTTCATGGAAGGCAAAGCATAATCAATTATCATGAACGTAAGATAGTTTCTGGTTAGTTGGTCAATTATCATGGAGGAAATTAGATTAACTATAATAATTAACCAAGGTTAGGACTATTTAACAGAAAAAGGTTCATTAAACATGCAAATAACCTACTAATGTCACATTTAATGATTAATTATTAATTTGGGGTTATATTTGATAATTTTGAAAATTGGAAGTTATGATTGAGAAATTTAAAAAGTAGAGGGTTACCGTTGGAAATTTCCCATCTTTATTTTAATTTAAGGCCCAAAATAATTACCTCAAAAGATTAAACGTTTCTCATTTCTCTGTTTGAAGCCCTAACACTCACTGAAACGCAGCTCTTGATAGAACTTTGCTCGAATCAAAGCTCAAAATTGAAGGTAAATAATACTACTTCACTACTTGTCGATTTTTTTAGTAGTCAAATTGCATGCTATTATCAATTATATACAAGGTAAATAATACTACTTCACTACTTGTCGATTTTTTTTTTCAATAGAAATTAGAAATTCATGAGATTGATGAGATTTGGTGAAGTAATTTGTTGTACTTTAGTTTTTTACTTATTCAATTTTTGTATATTCGATTAATTTTGAGGCAAATTTGGTGGGTAAGTTGATCAGCTCAAATGCCCAATTACATGTTGCTGCAGTTGCATTTTTTTCATACTCCATATTAATTTCGTGACTTTTTTTTTTTTTTTTTACATTCTTAATTTAGTGACATATTATTGTTACTTTGTTAGTTTGCTTTTCTTAAAAACTTATTTTCTTGTTGATTGTTGTGATTAACAGAGAATTAATGGGTTTTTAAAGTCATAAGAATTAATGTTCAAATGAGGTTGATGATTCTAGAAATTTAGAAACAGACTTTTGTGATCTTGATGGGTATGCAACGGGAACGGAAACAGGAACAGGAACAGGAACATCCGGAACAGAGAGCTTCGATGATGCCAATGATAAGAATTTTGGTTATAATGAAGAGTAGTTGTTGTTAGTTTGTTGATTATTCAGTTTTTTAGCTTTTATGATGTTTGAACTATGTTTTTCTTATACTATTTGGACTATGTACGCTTTAAAATATTTGTAAAATCATCTTAATTATGTAACAACGATCATATATGAGCAAAAGTGTGTTTTCTAACAATTATTTTTACTTAAGAAACATGTACTAGGCACAGTTAACCAATTTGGTTGCTTATTTCCTCAAATTTGTAGGATCTTACGATTCTACGATCCGATCCTACCCCCCTTATCGATCCAAAGTAGGATCCCGATCCTAACAACTTTGGGTATATGTGGAAGAATGGTTGCTGCTGCTCAAGAACTTGATGTGGGCGTATGATTTGAGATAATTTTTATCACGATTAAGACTATTTTAGTCAGGAATAAGATAATTTAATAAGACTATTTTAGTCATAAATAAGATAATTTTTATCAGGAATAAGACAATATTATCGATTTTCATGTGAATGAGGGATGAATGTGTGCATTATAAACAGGACTCACGTGAGTCTGTTCTACGCAAAACCTTCTCACCAACAAGTTGACTATGATACGTGTCATTGTATGATTGACCAAAATTAATATATTTTTTTAAATAAACAATTTTTAATTTAAAAAAATTTCCTGACTCCCAACCAATAGCCATGCCCAACCCTCTCCCCTAGTGCGCAACCCCCCCCCCCCCCCCCCTCGAACAACACACACCCAACCCCTCCCCCTGGTGAACACCACGACAACAACATGAAAGAAAAGGGGTCTTGTTTGGGTCTGGGGTAAGGATTGGGTATGACGACAATTTTTTGAGCTAGAGAAGGGAAGGGGGTTGTTAATGGGGGCTAGAGACAATTATTAGGGGTTGGGAGAGGGCAAGATGGTTTTTCGAGGGGCTAGGGAGGGGTGCTTATCGCGGTTGCTTTGGAAGGGGCCGGGACGGGGCAATTAGCGGGAAAGGGGGAAGGTGAGGAGATGAGTTTTCGGTGGTGGGGCTTGGGTAAGGGATTGTCGGAAGTGAAGCTATGGTGGTGTGGAGAGTGTTTGATCTGTGCTCTCGCATGCACCATGCGCATGGTGCACCTAGTGAAACTAAAAAAAGCGGAAAGAATATTCAAGTGTTTGAAAAAAAAACATACTAGTGTTTGAAAAAAGAACATACATGTGTTTGACAAAAGAACATATTTTTGTTTGACAAAGAAAATAATACTTCGTATTACTCCCTTCGTTTTTAAATACTTGCTCCATTTCTCTTGGACACATATGTTGATGCTAATCTTTTATCACTAATATCTTTAATTGTCAATAAGTATAAATTCTAACAATTGAAAATTAATAATCTATTCATCGAGATGATTTCAACAAGTACCCACAAGACTATATTTTTTTCTTATGAATAAATTACAAACATTAGTCAAAGTAGGACAAATAAATAGTGCAAAAAATAGAAATGGAGCAAGTATTTAAAAACGGAGGGAGTACAAAGAACATGATACATGATAATATATTAAAGAACATGTTCTTTTTCATAGGTACTCATGTGGTTGAATTTAACGGTTTTTTTAATTTTTATTTTTATATATTTTTTATTTTTTTTAATGTTTTTATGTACATACATTTAAGAGCATATTGTATAATGTAAAGAACAAACAACTCAAACTCAAAGAACATAATGATCAAACATAAATAATATATTATGCTTGTGTTCTTTATAAATATTTTTTTTTTCGTCCATATTCTTTAAAATATGCATAATGTTCTTTCCAAGTCCACCAAGTGCATGGTGTACCCGGGTGTACCATTAAAATTTCATGGTGTGGAGGCAAAGCAATGGTGGTGTTGGATGGGAGGATAGAGAAAAGAAAAAAAACAATTAAACCAATCATGGAGCAATACGTGTCATGGATAGCTTGCTCAATAGGCTATATCAGGTCTTGTCTTGTTTAAAATTAACACCCCACAAAAGGTTGTAATTGTAATATGTAGGAATAACAAAAAAATGTTATCTGGTTTAAAAACAACTTCCCATTTTTTCCTTTCCACTTTGCTTGGAAATTAATGGAAAATGAAATTCTTTTTTGCATATAATGATAAGTACATTTTGTGCTACTACTTTTTCATTAAAAAAAAGATGCATCACTTTTCTTTGTATGGAGATGCAAACTCTAACTTGTTAAAGCTTTCTTGAAAGAGAAACATATATCCGATGATGCTAGATGTTCCTGGTGTAGCCACACAATTTTTAAATGCTCCAGAGGCTCAGAGTACAAGCATTATGGACGAGATAGGCTATGCCACTTTGATCCAACTTGCCAGAACAATGATTGAAAGATGGGCGAGGTCGAATGTGGGCTTGAAACAATGTATTGCAAATTAGATTGGTGTATACTGGGGTACCGGAACCACTGAATCTGAGAACAAGAGCACATTTGACTGCAGGCTAGCAAAACTGGGTAATGAACTAATAGCAGGGCAAATACTGCAGGCATGTCTATGGGCAGGCACAACAGAAGCAGCAGCTGTGTCAAAGGAGATGGACAACTCTGCCTAAAAATGTCAATGAATCAAATGCATATGCCTCCCTTGAGTAGAAAGGATAGATGGATAGAACATTGCTCCAGATTATGAAGTAAAAGACTCTTTGAAGCAACAAGTATGGTTGAGACGTAGTGGCCTGCTACAATTGCAGATGTGCAGAAGGCAAAGCAATAGCAGTGGTTATTCGACTGGGAAGCAGCATGGATATGGCCTTATAGGGACATCAAATGATAACCAATCACTTGTTAAAGGGCGCAATGTACGTCACAGATATGACACTTTGCTGGAGGATATCTTAACCGTGTACCCAGTTTCAATTCAGATGTCTCATGTGAAAAGGGAAGACATTTTTTAAGCTCAATCATTTATCTAGGATAATCTCATTGGGGGTAGAACAAGTATGGGTTAATTATTGCGCTCATGGAATTCTCCTTATGTACTCATGGACAATTTGTTTATATATATATATAGGGTCGGGATCCGGTGAGAACCACCCTTTATGTGAGAACCCACACCTTATGTGAGAACAAATCTCAGCCACTAGATTAGATGAAATCCAACTGCTGAGATTATAAGCCTGCCTAACAAACTAACTTTCAGCATCTAATTTATCTCTCCCCTCTATTCAGTCTGCAAATCAAAGCTCATCAATGACGATTTACTTATCAATGGCGATTCACTGAGTATGCTCTTCTTTCAGCAAATTTCAACGGTTTCTTTCTGCAATTTTCAACGGTTTCTTTTTGCAAATTTCAACGGTCGCAATTTCATCCATCATTGAGGTTTGTTCGTAATTTTAATTTTGAATTGCATGTTAATCTGAATGTTCAAAATATTTTGATTTTACATCTTTGAAAAATTTGGAATTGCATGTTAATTTTCGAATTGAATTACATGTTAATTTTCGAATTACATTAATCGAATTGAATGTTTAATTGCATCAATTATTTGATTGAATTGAATCAATTATTTAGGTTTGATTAATTTTATAGAGATTTTAATAATATCATATTAAACTTGATAGTGATTGAATCAATTATTTATGTTGTTAGTAGGTTTTTATTTTCAATTGAATGCTGTTATTATGTTCTTATTTTCAATCAAATTCAAAATGAGCAAATAAATTAAAATGAGCAAACCTAAATATGTATAATAGAACATTTAAATTGAGGTAACTACAATTAAAATGAGCAAATATTAATGACATTCATAAGTAATCAAGGATCTATAAGTACTCAGCGTTTCGGGTAAAAACACTAAGTATACAGAATTGTGTATGTATGTATGTATGTGTGTGTGTGTGTGCGAGTGAGCGTAACAGTGTGTCTGTGTGTGAGTGTGAGTGTGAGTATGATTGAGTGTAAGAGTTTATATATGTGGGCATTGAATTGCATGTTCATTTGACAAATGAGCAAACCTATCCCCCTGCCCCCCTCCTCTTTCTGCTTGCAATTCTGGTTTCAGAAACTGATTTCAGTTATAATTATAGATTATGAAATTATTGTGTGTGTGTGTGTGTGTAAGTGTGTATCTATGTCTCTGTGTGTGTAAGTTTGTTTAAGAATTTGATTTCAGTTCTAATTATTGAGAGTGTGTGTGTGTTTAAGTGTGTTTAAGGAGGTGCATATTCACAAATGATGAGCAACAACGAACAAGTTGAGAGTCAATAAAGTACCATCACAAATGTGCCAACTACTCCTGTTTCGGGGTTTTCTGATGTCCTGCGGGAGAGTTACAATTCCGAGACTGGAACCGGACGCCTGTACCTGCAAAATAACGGAGACTCCTGAGAGCTCCGCCTCCAACGATCAAGTTATTACCTGATTAAGGAGTAATTAATACGGAAATTAAAGCAATAAGATCTCTCTAGGTGAGAGTGTTTAATGTTGGTAATCTGCTTTGTTAGCGAGATTAGCCGGTTATTAGTGTTCCGTAATGTTTCTGTTCTTCTCTGTTCTTCAGGTGAGATTAACTGCTTGATCAGTTGCTCTCTCAATTGCTTGATTGCCTGATGTTTTCTTGATTTTCTAATTAATGAGGATTAATTAAGTATTTATAGTCTTGAGAAGCGTGCCACTCTCTAGGTTTAGGGTAAACCTAGGGCTGACCGGGCCTCTAGACAGGATTGGGCCTTGTTGGCCGGTTTTCCCATTTGGCATGGGTGGACACGTGGCGTGTCTTGATTGGTCCGTAGAGGACGTATCTGTGATTGACACGTGGCAGACTCCTATTGGCCTACGTGAAGGACACGTGGCGGAACCTGGTTGGTCCACTTGTCAGACGGTGATTGGTGGATAAAAATCCCCTAATCATTTGCCCCTCACAGGTGGCACGTGACTGGTCACGTGTCGCCTGTGACAGGTGTCGCACGGTGACAGGCGACGGCCTGCTACAGGTGTCACCTTGCAAATGGCCGAGAGATTTCCCGCCCAAATTTTGAATTTGGAAGCGACCCTTCGCCTTCTCACTTTGCCTATATAAGGAAGTGCTGACTTCGGTCATTTTCACATTTGAGAACTTTGCGAGAACATTCGGACCCCTGAACTTGCTCTGACATTTCGGACCTTTTCTGCCTACCGCCTGTTCGGACAAGCCGACTGCACCGGATTTCCA